ACAGGTCAGCATTATCCTACCATTGTATTCTCTCTTTCATTTTCTTTGTTTAAACAATTGACTTTTGCCTCCCCCCCCCCCCCCACCCCTCCTCCTTTTGTTTTCTTAGAATAAAGTTTACGAACTTGCAAGCTGGAAGTCAAATAATTGCCAGTACAGTATATCCTGAACCCTCAGACACTCTTGAGGAAAACGTCACCATCGCATTCAGCTACGATAAGGTAAGTTTATCATTTCAAATTAAAAATTAAGCAAAAGTCTGCATAGTAGAATAACGCTACGCCCACCAGTGACAATAGAACATCAGAATTTGCACACAGCAGTAGAGCGGTCGTGTATAAAAAAATGGAAATTGCGGCCGAAAATTTCACGTCCTTCAACTGTGACTGTACAAGTTGACTGTAATGCATTGTTACGCGTGCAAAGTCTCTTCATGTGCAATTAATATTCCTCTAATTCAAATTAAGTTCTTTTTCTGTTTTGCATTAGTCTTTCAACTTGCATTTTCCCATTAAACCACTAGGAAGTAAAGAAAGGCGATACACCACATTGCGTTTTCTGGGATTTCACACTCGAGTAAGTCTGGCAAAGAGAATTAACCGTCATGTACCTTTAGTATTAAACATAGTAAATAATTATTCATCGATGAGTGACGAGTGAAGTGATAACAAAAAGAGGACTATACTCTGTTTATAGCGATACGTTTTATTCTGTTGCCACATTTTTTCACCTTTTCGAAGTTTGTTTCTTTTTACAAATCTTGCATGTAGAGGTGTGAAAAATAGAAAGGGGTCTGGTTTATCATGGCTACACATGGACGTTGGCTAGAAATCTGGCACTTAAATTTACTTTACGGCCGTGAGCGTTACGGATAATATATCAGTATTCTCATATTTCAGCGTTATGTATGATAAAACAATATTCTCATATTTTACGTATAAAGTTGTGACACATAAATCATTTATGCCCGGAAAACAAAGGTTTGTGGTAGTCTGCTGAGAATTGCCTCATCTTGATCAAGAAACCGCCAATATCAAAGATCCCAAAGAGGTTGCTAATTTCTTAAGTCGGTAACAACTGACAATATATGTCTTACTGATAATAAAGGTCTAAATTAAACGGCTCCTGGGCGAGTAGGGGATGTTCATTAGTCCAAACAATGAACAAAAAGATCATCTGCACCTGTAATCATCTCACAAACTTTGCTGTTCTCATGCAAGTTGAGGACAAAAAGGTAGGTAAACTTATGCGTTTATGTTATAATTGAAGAGATAATGAAAAATTTCATTCAAATTTCACTGATAATATTATCCCTGGAACTTGAATCTTACATTATTTAAGTTTTATAGACTGAAATAAAATACAAAGTGAGGAGAGAATAATTCAATACATTTCCCTTTGCTAGTAACTTATAAATCTAAACTCCTTTCCAGACACCCGAAAATTTCCATGTCTGGTTAATTTCCTCACTCAGTCAACTAACTAACTACTTTTGTTTGTCTGGTTGGTTGGTAGCTTTGTTAGTCGGCTAGTTGGTTTGGTTGGTTGTTTCTTTGGTCGTTTTTATTTGTTGGTTGTGGAATGATTGGTACGTGGGTTTGTAGGTTGGTTGCCGGGATGTTGGTTGGTTAGTTGGTTTGGTTGGCTGGTTGGAAGGTTAGTTGGTTGGCTGGTTGGTTGGTTGGTTGGTTGGCTGGTTGGTTAGTTGGTTGGCTGGCTGGTTGGTTGGCTGGTTGGCTGGTTGGCTGGTTGGTTGGTTGGTTGGTTGGTTGGTTGATTGGTTGGTTGGTTGGTTGGTTGGTTGGTTGGTTGGTTGACTGGTTGGTTGGTTGG